GTCACTGGGATACAGCATGCAGAACTCGTCCCCTGAAACTTGATTTTTTCCCAGTTTTTAGCAATTTTTTTTTCTCCAGAAGTCTGCCAACTGGCATGCTCTCAGTTTGTTGGTTTTCCTGTGGAATGTGAATCTGATTGACTGATGCACTGCAGAAACAGTAGTCCGAGCCAGCTGTTTCTGTAAATTTTCAATGTTGGGTTTCAATGTGCTATTTCAGATCAGTAAAGGCAGACATAGGATTTCCTTGAAAAATATCCTATGTCAGAACCTAAGATCACCAAAAGAAGCACAGCTTAATCCCCCAAAAACTCTGGTTCTGCTTTCTGACTTGTAGCTTCAGACTCAGAAGTCTCCTCTTCCAGGTTTCCACGAGTGGTACCAGCAACTAGAAACTAAAGATAAGACTAGACCTAAACACGAACATAATTTTAAGCTGTTTAGCATGTGGATGCAACATCTGTAGCTCAGACTAATCTTTGCTTTAGACATTAGCTGTCTCAACTCAGCAATTTCAACAAATGTCAAAGAGATTGGTGATTTCCATGATCAGTGGATTTTAATAAATGCTAAATGAGATACAAAACATAGTTTGAAAGCAGGTGCACACCAAGCTGATGAAGAAATCCTTAGATGTGATATCATTGCTGTTCAAAAAAATATCCGTATCCGGACAGCTCACTGAAACAACAAAACATTGTATATAAAAAAGAACATTCGTCAAGTAGCTGCTTTCTACGCATGAATGAAATGGGCCCAGTAACAGGGGATTTCACAGGTGCTCAAGGTGCTCAGCCTGTACCTAGAGTCAACTTCTAGCACAGTCACTTTAAAGAATGCAGCTGGAGTACCCAACAAAACTGTGCTTGAGAGTGATTGTATTGTTTTAAAGCTTCAACCACATTCTCTCCTAGTGTAATAAATAGCTGAGCCAACAGCAACTGGTTGCTTGTTGTGACCAAAGCAAGCTTGCAAGTTTTTGATTGTATTGGCTTAGTTCAGCAATAAAGTCTGCCTGCTCCTGCTGCTCGCAAAGAAACAAGTAGTGTCAACTAGCACCCGGAGGGAGTCCAGTGGCCCTCAACTGCTACACTCTGCTACTACTCACACAGATAACACAGATAAGAGAAAAACAGTAGGCAGTGAGGAAAAGGAACAAAATTTTAAATAAACAAAGAAACCTGAGTAGCTGAATTGTATCTAAAGGAAATGAGGTCACCATTTGCTTCAGATTCCAACCACAAACAACTGACAAGTAATCAAGAGTCATTAAAGTACAAGAATTTTTATGAATCACATTCGACTTAAAATCAGCTACTCTGGAAATTCCTGGGACTCATACAAGCTGTAATTTGAGACAATAAGATGAAGGAACAAGCTGTATATTTTTAACTTTATGAACAGTGATAATGTAACATTTGAAATCTATTGATTTACATTTAAAAATCTATTGGTTTATTCAGTGATACCTGTTATTATCTCAAGAGTTAGAAGCAAACTGAATAAAAAATTTAATTCGATTAATATCAAAGGGAGAATACAAAATGTTTTACTGTAAAAGTACCTGTGTTTTTAAAGGTGAAGCTAGAATATTCTAAAACAACTTTATACTGGAAAATTTCCCTTAAACATGTAACACGTTTTATGACTGCCTTGAAATCCTTTCTGCCATAATCCAAAATTTACTGTAACCCAATACTGTTCAATTTTGAAGCCACATTCCAATACACAAAGCAGTTGCAAATATAGTGTTATTCTTTGCATTCTATATCTATAGTTGGGACTACTTAGTTCAGTGGCAAGCTATCTTCTTTTTTTTAAAAAAAAAACCCAAACTATTATCATTATGGAGATGACAAATCATGTCAAAAGGATCTAGGTGTTTTCTTAGCTTTTGTATCCTTAATCACTAACTAAATACTTAATGTGACACATAACCCTGCTCTTATATGTGAGATGACAGAGGTTTAGGCACACATAACTGCTCATATGCAAATTTAGCCTTCTCTGTTCTTAATGCACCATGAGTAGAGAGGACTTGCAAATGATTTTTCAATGTCACATGAAGCCATGTCGGCAAAACAGACATTTTACTAGTCAAAGGACTAATTCTGATATTACATGTGTGTGATACAAACCAAAATGTGCTCCACACAACCACTGGCTCAAGGCAATATAACGCCTCAGGCATGTCTGAGCTCTGACTCTGAAGTGCCTTGAACAGCTGGGACTGCTCCCCCACTGATCACTGAGCTCCATCACCTTCAGCAGGGGCTTGCAGAAGTGCCTGCTCACAGAGCCAGGAATCCAGGTTCAGGGCAGATTTCTAGGCACGGTTGTAATTTTAAGCATGTGAAGATTCTTATTTAGCTAGAGGGTGTCCCTGACTGAGAAAATTAATGTGGAGTATCAGGGTACCACAGTAAGGAAAATTTTTCATGGTAGAACAGCACTTCTGTGGCAGTTCATTTTCCTAACATTTACAGGGTTACTTAACTCTCTGTGAATTCTATCCTTTGAGATTTACATATGGACCACTAGAATCAGTGTGTGGTGGATGGTATTTCTCTTTAGTTTTAATATTTTACCATCAGCTGTGAAAATGAGCACTGGAACTAATGATACTTCCACCCCTCACAACTTCTGGAAAACAATGCGAACCTCACAATCTCTTGCAGCGCACCACCATGAGATAAAAATCCTTTATTTCTTTAAGAGGGTCCGTGTCCTCATCTAGTTGGAATGGAATGTTATCTTTTCTAAATTTGCTAAGTCAGGCTGGCCAATTAGTCTGAAGCATTCAAGTTACTTCAACTATAAATTAAAAGAATCAGCAAGATTTTTATCATCAACCAAAAAGTAAATTGCAGAATCACAGTAAACTAAAAACTGCCTGACGGTGGGTTTGATCCTACTAGCTCTTCAGTGTTGGATCCACTGCATCTGACCTCTCTTTGAGAGAAGTACTGTACAACTGCAAGGGGTTCACAGGCTTGGATCATGAGCAGCTCATAATAGGTGTATAGATTTTCTTTACTCTGTGCTATAATCCAGGTACAGCCAAGAGAAATATATAAATCCCTATTATTAACAGCCCTAACTATGTAAATGAGAGAATTACTTTAGATTTTGTGTCATTTTCTAGTTTAGATACTGTACTCTTACTAAGCAGTAAAGTGTCTTCTGTAAGGTCACTCGTAACACTTCCTACGGCATTTATCTTGTCTTCGGAAGTCCCCCTCCATCCTGATCCCACCTCTGCCAAATTCAGATAAGAGACTGATGTGAAGAAACCACAGACACATATAAAGAAAAAGAACTAAACAGTGGAAACCAGAAAGTGGCTCTCAATATACAAAGCTTGTGCATGGGTCTGTAAAAGAGTTTTTCTCTTAAGCCCCATGGCTTGTTATTAATCAGTATCTACTGGGAAAATAAGTTCCTGTGAGAGTCTTTTAGTAGGTATTTAATTTCCTTCACTGTTCTTCCCAAGTAACTTTGATTTTGAGTTATTAAGACTTTCTTTTCCTCTGTTCTATCACCGTCTTGTTCTGCTGAGATAACATGGCTTGTAACAGGGCCCTTCTAAACTCTTGAGACATGCAGTAATGAACAAATCCTGACCCTGAAGCCAACAGAAGTCCCTTGATAGGAGAGCTGGTCCTGTTTCACCCCTCCCACTCCCCGGGTCTGTGCATTTCCTACCTGTGCAGTCAGGTCCATCTTTGAGGTCAGGTGGAAGTCTTGCCAGAACTGCCAAGTTAGAGATTTTTCCAAGGTCTCTGCCTTAAGGCAGGGCACATAACAAGGGTCCAAAGGCTTACTTCACCTGAAACCTCACTTCAGAGCTTGTTGTGCCAGCCATCAGCCAGCTCAGTGAACTCTGGCACTGGAAATTATCTCGTCCATTTCTGCTTTCCTAAAAGCCACTTAAGGATCACAGAGATCATGAAGCCTGTTTGCTGTGAGATTACTTGCAGTACCAAAGCAAACTCATTTGCAGCTAGCTTTGATATCTCTCTGCTAAACCACAGTTTCAGTTCAGTCATTCAACTATAATTCATTCACCTATCTAGGTGCAAATATTCAAAGCAAAGGAATTCGATGGCACTAAAGCAGTACTGCAAACATGTCAGGGTTTCTGATCAGTAGCTGTTACCAGTCCAATTGAAGCACAGTGACAGCACAGCAGGGAGGCCACTTCTGGTGGCATTCTATATATATTTTATCATTGCGAAGTAATACAGTATTTCAATAAAACCTAAGTATGTGACAAATGGTAGGAAAAGGGTGTTTTGAATCTTGCTTTATCTTGTGCCAGAGTGAAGACAACAAAAATTTTTGGCTCTTGGACCTGGGAAACAAGTATGAACCTTCAGGTTTTAGGGGAAAAATGAGGAACAGGGGAGGGACACCTACACAGCTTGGTCAAAAGTTCAGGTTAAAGATAATTGCTCACACTTCTACAGCACTTCTCAGAGAACAATGGTGAAAGAGGAAATCCAGATGCTCTACAGTTGACTCTTTTTCCAGAAAGAGAGTTTGAGGAAGCCACCAAGGGCTAGCACCTTGGGTCAAGCACCGTGCCTCGGGAGCGTGGGGGAGGAAGAAGAGGAGCTGTCCAGCCCTGAGGAGCCCTCCTCTTCCTGGCACCTTGTCCCTTCCCTGCTCTCCCTGCTGCACCAAGCCATGACAAAATTCCTTCACTTATTATGTGTAAGGTTGGTGTATTAAAATTCATTAAGTGGGTAAATGTTCCAGACTGCTTTTAAAATCTGGATTTTCCCCCCTCCCCCTCTAATTTATTCCCTAGGATAAGTTTACCTCACAGCCACTCCTCTAAAGTGAAGAGACTGCCATGGGGATTCTACCTTGATATTTTCTGCCCTGTTTCTTAGAGGATCTAATTGCTTGTGATGCTGGTATATTCAGTGACCACAGCGAGAGAGAAAAATTACTCTTCTGAACTCCAGAAAGATTTGTTCCCTACCTATGTTCATTTTTGGACTTACAGCTTGAGCTCTTTCTCTTGACTCAGTTCCTGCCATTCAGCGAAGCGAATTCAGCATGCTTTTGGCAGATGCAAGGTCTGTTCTGATGTGATCTTGCAGATCTGAACAGAAACAAATAGAGAACATAAGTAGCCAGTACTAAAATAAAGGTATGGTTATTCCACAGGCTTGATCCAAATAGAAGGTGGGGAGGGAAGAAGAAAGCTAAGCCATACTCATCCCAGTAAAGCTAGATGTCAAACACAGAAAGATGATCTCCTTAAGTTCTGAATTGCCCAGTTATGAAAACAATAATCGTAAGGGAAATTCAGGTCAACTCCTGTTCCGACCTGGCCTCTGAAGAAACTGCTCTTCATCAGCTGCACAGCCTATGGAGACCTGCCTCATCTTAGTCACCAGCACTACCTGAAGCTAAACCCTATGAATATACCCACAAATACTAAATACTGGTTTGCTGTTATTCACTGCATTGCTACATCATCACAGCATAACATGAAAAAATCACATTTGAATGGGCTAGGAAAGACTATTTTGTTGGCCTGCCTTCTTAGACAAGCATCTGGCAGTTCACATCTCTATCCAAATCTTAAGAAGCAACCCCATTTTGACTATTTCTGTGGAAAGATAGAAATTCTGGAAAAACTGTGACCAATTTCTTGGGAGCAGAAGATTCCTCTGGGGCAGCTGAGCTCTAAGTTGCTTCGGAGAAGACGAGTTTAGCCCCTGCTGTAAGCCCCATTCCCAGTAGATTTCAGCTGGGTTGAGGAATGCATCCTGCTCGCCCCAAAACGTCCTGTGTTTCAGCTGGAGGCAGCTCTCCGAAAACACATTCAGTGCCTCCAGCACACATTCTGGCCCAACATCCCCTCCCAGTGGGCTGTGTTTAACCCACACCTGAACCAATTTAATCCTCTACTAATTAATTAATCACTTGTGCTTCTCTCATTATGGGTAGCGCTATATGAATAAAATACACCACTCTTATATCTCTAGGCATGTTTCAACACAAGTCATTTTTCTGACAGCTGTCACTCACATTTCTCGTTTGTTGTTTGTTTTTTAAATGCCTCTAAGAAATTGCTGACAGCCGCGGGGAGCCAGGGAGCCCCTTACCGACAATCTAACTCCGACCCGAGTTGTTTGTTCGCCCGGACCGTACTCCCCCCATCCCCCGAAACTAAAAAGCAACATTTAAAATTTCCCCCTTGAGTCATTCCAGCAGTTTTTGTTTGCAGCGAGGTAAGCGCCGAGGCGTTCGCAGGTCCCGGGGGGGTGGGGGGGGCCGAGCGGGCAGGTCCCGCCCCAGGGCGGTGGCGGCGGCGGCTCCGCCCCGACCCGGCCTTTATAGCGCCCGCCCGGCGCTGCCGCCGCCACCGCCCGGCCCCGGCACCCACCGGCTCCCGCCCTGGTAAGTGCTCCTGTCTTTACAACCCCGTGGTGATTTAAGAGCGAAAATGCCTGGTCTGAATGCTTGCGCTTTAAATTGGGAGGGAAGAAAAAAAAAAAAAAAAGCGCCCTTGCGATGCAGTATTTCAGCAGTGGGGAAGATCTGTTCGATGTGCTACAGCGTATCATCATTTTTCACTAAAAAAATCAGCAGTACTGCTATTTGTGATCCAAAGGTTGAACCTGAGGAACTAACTGTGGTAACAAATGATTAATTACTTGCTCAGTTGCCAAATATGCTAAAAATAATTATCTTAATATGAATAGGGTTTAAGGGAAAACATATGTGCTGAAATCACAGCTGAATCTGATAAGCATGCCTGTCCAAGTACCTGAGGCATGATTTGCTTTCTTGCATTATGAAACCTGCTTACGAGCAAAGAGTGCACCTGCATTAGCATTTTGGTTTAGATCATGTCAGCTTTTTCCAAATGAATCCAGTGATCTCGATTTCCCATGTTTTTGTTCACACCACTGAATAGTTTTAGGGTACCTGCACTGTTTTTCTTCTGAATAAAGCCAAATTAGAGGATGCACTCCATATACCAGCAGGCGTTCAGTCTGCAGGACCAAATTAGAACTAGTCCAGTGTAGAAACCTCGGAAGTAGATAACAGTGTGGAGCAGGTCTTCAGCACCAGCTCCATTCTGCACACTCCCTCCTACTGCATTGCACTGCTTGCTGCTGTAAATATAACTAAGGTTCCTATGGAATACTTTAAAAACCAAGTTTTCCAGTTTTCTAGAACTGAGGGCACTTTTTAAAAAAAAAATCCCATTCCTTGCATTGCAAATAATAAAAAAAAAATCAACAAAAAATACATATTGGTACTTTATAGCTTTCTTCTCCCCAGTGTTTTTACAAGCTTGGTTTTTGACACTCACTATTGGTAAGATTGCTATACATCCTTGGCTGCAAGATCCAGCTGCATGTAAGAAATCAAGATGGAATATGTTCTAAGCCTCTCTAATACTGTAAATAAGTGAGATAACATCAAGACAAGACTTTAAAGAGTTTGAAGTGGTCAGAGGCACTTAGTGAGGCTTATGCAAGTGCCTGGCATCAACTAGATGCAGTCAGCAACTATAGAGATAGTGAAAAAAGGACATTTCCCTTTCATACCCTCAATGTGCATGTTTGGTGCTTTTGTTGCAAGGTAGTAATAATCAACTAAAAAGGTACAAACAGCTGGACAGTAACTAAATATATCTGACAATTTCTAACTGTTTTGGTCCACACTGCAGAACCAGAGTATTCATTTTTCCAATTTCCTTTTCTCTGTTTCACTTAAACTCTGAACAAATCTCATTGTATTGCTAGATGTGCAAAAAGAAAAGCTTCAGACAATGACCTCTAATTTAATGTATAGAAATAATAAGTATATATTCCACAGCAAGTCAATGTTTAATTCTGTCAATTGTGTTGTCTGACATGAGTGTCAGAAGAAGTCACAATAGAAGCAAGAAAGGTGACGCTGCAAGCTACAACACAATACTAAATTTCTCTTTATTTTCAGAACCAAAATAATACAGATAGAAGAGGAACTAAGTGAGAAGCTAACTAACAACATGAAGTTACTCATTTTTCTCACAGTAACCCTGGGTACACTTGTCACGGGACTAGATTCTGTAAGTTTTGAAATAAATGTTGGGGGGGTTCACTTGGAACCACTTCTGGTTTTGATTATACTTCTGCTTTGGCCAGCGCAGCAGGCTTTTGGCTTGAATTCTCCTTTTTTCTGACTTTACATGTACATATACATCTGCTGCACATATACCTCCAAGTAATATGCTTTTGAACCCCTTGGTTTTTCTTCTAATTCTGATCCACCTTAACATGTCTGCTAGCATTCAAATAGTGAAGACATTATGCAATAACAAAGAAATCAAGTTGTTTTGTTTTTTTTTTTTTTCTTTTAATGCTATGTAGACCTGGACACTGAGTACCAAGAGCTCACTGGTCCTCCATGGAGGTAGATATTGGGCCTTAACTAAATTTCCACTTCTTCTACTTGAAAGAATGATGCTAAATAAGGAAAAAACAGATGTGGATTGGAATATTTTTGATTCTCAACTTGTATGACAGTTGATATCTATCAGCAGAGTCGTTTACCAACATGATGGAAATATATTGTTACCATTATCTGTTTTAGCTCAGACAAGCCCACCTGACCTCTGGGAAAAGTATACTAAAAGCCTAATCTTATTGAAATATCTAGCTTGTAAAGCAGAGGCAGGACCTAAAGTACAGGGCAAGAATCTATCATATAAGTCTACTGGCTTTTATTCCGTGGCACAAATGTAAAGCACCAAGGTCACCGAAATAAGAGGCAGCTGGAGAATGTTACATCTTTGCTGTACTGCTTGGTGGCTGAGAGGTGGAGAGGGAGAAGTTCCCTTCCCTGTTCTAGGGACACTGACCACTGAGAGCTGCTTAGGTCCTTATAGTAGAAATAACTGCCATGTTGACCTGATACAGTGGACCTGCTTGGTGGGGGTTTTCACAATTGGGTTGTTTTCGTGTGGTGTGGGGTTTTTGATCTCCTGTTCTGCTTTGCTTGAGTAGAGTTCCACTCTTCATTCATATCTAGGTTCCACAGAGCAGGTTCAGCTGGTAACTGCATGCAAAAAACTGAACTGTTGAAAGTATGCATTAAGGAACAGAGCTTGGGCCTATAAAAGATAATCAAACCACATAAAAGAAACAGTTACCATAAAATCACTTTTTCTTTTCCTTTAGGTTTACAGCAAGAACTACTACAAGCTGTCATATAAACACAGATCAGATCACAAGGGTAAATATCTGACTGTTCTACTTGAACCTAAAAAGAACTTGTTATCCTGCAATTACATCTTCATACAAGAAGAAAGACTTAGTCATACTTAAACACATGAAACTTAGTTTTCAGCTACATTTCACTTCATCATTCAAATGTTTTGCCTCTAATCAGTGATGTCCTTTTACTTGCAGAATGCCATTGTTTGAATGGAGCAACCTGCATTACCTATTACCTATTTAGTGGAATTAATCGTTGCGTATGCCCAGAAGGATACACTGGGATTCACTGTGAACTAGGTAGAGTATCTGTTTTCCTTAGTACTAACTAAATTGCTTGAAAAGAACTAACAAGATAGGTAAGTAAAGAATATGAAATGGCAGGTGAAAGTACTACCCATAAACACATGACTGGATATCCTTCAGCACTTTATGCTACCAGACTGAGGAGAAACAACTAAATATTGGTGAAAAATCAAGATCTCTATTTTTTTTTTTTTTTTGTCCCTGCTTTCTCACTAGTATTGCCTATGTCACAAATGTTTTAGTTTGGGGTGAAAAAACTGAACTTGTTTGGGAGTGTTCAGAAGCAGAAGAACATATTATATTGTGCAGTACACTGAAACTATTAAAGAAGCAATATGCATGCTTTAAAGCATAAGATAGTTGATGTTCAAAAATAATAAAGAACAAATTTAAAACCAACAGATAATAAATTCAGATTTTGCATTATTTGTTTTCAAGTGTAATGCATAAACTTTTTCTCATTAGAAGAATCCATACAGATTATTTCTGTCTTGGAACAAATATAAACAAGAATGTGCTGCTAATTAAATCCTTATTTTCTCAGACACTAACAGCATATGCTATACTGAGAATG